GGGTGAGGTCTCAGCCTGCTCTTTACTTGCCTGAGGGGCTGGCTGTACTTCAGAGACTTTTGTTTCTAGCTTACAGGTGACAGCTGTGAGCAAGAGCCTCTCAGGCTCTGGGACACAATTCACAACAGTGTGACACTAACAATGTAACACTCATGTCACTAAGACGAATGGAATTGCTGGCTCCGACTTCAACAGTTTCTAATACTGCCCCATGCACTGTGTCACTGCTGTCTTAGGAACCCAGCTACAAGGACATTCCAGCCTTGTGTTTTCCTTACGGTCGAAGTGGAGTTTACGTTATGTTTTGTTTTGACCTATTCTCTAAAACTTAAATTTTATATGAATGGTAGGTGTTCAAAGGATGAAAATTGATTTAATGCCCATACTTTATTATCTCTAATTAAAATGCTAATCTTAATAAATAAATTTGTATATTTTCCTCTTCAGACAGGCTGTTCAAAATCGATACTGAGTCTTTTTTTTTATTTTTGCCCTCTCCTTAATCCTCCTATTGTTCCAATATAAGCTTTGAAGACCCAAGTGACAAGACTAGAGTTTTTGTCACATTATTACCACAAACCATATCCAGAACTGTGTGACTTATTATTATTCAAAGAATTACATTCATATATCTAAAGAATATTATCTTAGGAAATAATTTAAATACAGCCCTTCCAAGGAAGGAGAATTCCAAATTCTTCATAGGAATTCTCATTTTCCACTTGAGGTTGCAGAAAGTGACTTTTCAGCAAAACTTACAGGCAAGGAATATAAATAGAACAGCTTCTCTCAGTCAATTTTAGTATTATAACCACTGTCCCACAAAGCTGCCCCATGGCAAACTGAGTTTACCTTCCCATCAACACCTTTGACAGCCTAAGAATGTGATGGCTGAGAACTTCTACCTTCTATTTGAATGGCAACTGTAGATGAAGTTACAAATTCTATCTCCTCCACTTGTAGATCCAGAATGTTTGTCCTTTAATATCAGTCATTTGAATTCTCTGTTGATAACCACTGATCCTTATGGTAGAACACACACTAGGACATACTCAGGGTGACCTGGATCTCTAGTGGCTCAATTCATTATGCAAAAGCAAGGAAAGATTATGCTTAGCTATCGTCAAGGTAGGATGGACAAACCAAGGAGCAAACGAAGCACTGGAGAAGTGAGCGGGTGAGGGGTAGATGTCTGTGTTCCCAGCACTAGGGGGAATGAGGCAGGATGGCTGGAACTATATATATATGCAAGGAATAGGAGAAACTAAGTGCAAATGAGACACCAGCAGCTTCCTCTTTAGAAGTCCTATATTTTAGTTAAAATACAGGCATATGGTGTTAAATATAAACAATGAGAAAAATTCTTAGATATTTAAAATGAAAAGAATTAACAGAGAAAACCTATAAAAATTAACCTAATGTTCTGTCTAAAAAAATCTTATTCATGATTCAAAAACAATTTTTAATTATTCAGATGTGTAGGGAGTGAGCAGTCAGCTCAAGGCCTATTTGTTGTGGGTAGGCTGTGCCTTAGGAAAAAATTCCAAGGTGTTCCCTTTATCTTAAGACTAAAATATCTCACAATCACTGAAGCCCCAAATTTTGGCTTTATTTTGCACCAGCAGAGCTAAGACAAAAAATAATGTCTATTAATCAAATACCTATGATCAGATGAGAAACTAAAATGCACATATTTGCACAAAAATAGTACCCGAGGACATAGAATTTGCCCTGTACTTCAACCAGCAAAGCTAACAGTGTGTGTGTGTGTGTGTGTGTGTTCTACATGCATCTCTACATGAATGAGTGAAATGTTAACTAACTACATGATAAACTGTAAAAGAAAACAATTAGCAAAATGGAATAACACCCTGCTTATCTCTTTTGGTTCAACAGAAATAATGTCACACTAACATACAGAAAGGTAAAATAAAAACTCTATATACAAGGCTCTAAAATCCTTCCCCTATTTTGTGTATGTACATGTTTTGCATGCATGTATTTCTATGCACCATGAGTGTGCAGTGTCTGCAGAGACCAGAAGAGAACACTAGATTCCCCTGGATCTGGATTTACAGATGGTTGTGAGATGCCATGTGTGTGCTGGGAACTGAACCCATGTCTTCAGGGAAGAGCAACAAGTGCTCCTAACAGCTGATCCATTTTTCTAGCACCCAGATTCAAAGTTTAAATAAAATATTTTTACTTTGAAATTTATTATCTGCTGGAGAATTTATATATGTGTGGGTGTCATGTGTATACACACAAAATTTTATTTCACTATCTTTGCAAAGCTTTTATGTATAAAAGGATTACCACAGGGTTAGTTTTGACACCAAATTCAAAGGCAGCTAACAAATATGTCAAAGGAAAAATGGGAAGACAATACACGAAGCAGTACAAAATGGAACAAGGAAGTGCAGAACAATGAACCCTAAAAAAGGAGATCCCACACTGCGAATTTTCTCTAAGCAACAGGTCACCAAACATCTTCCCAATAAAGACTACTCAAACACATGGGCCACAATGAAAGCAGCACTTCCTGGTACAGGGACAGTTTCAATGAATGTTTTACTTTAAAATAGAATCTGTTAGAATTTCCCCATTAACTTCTTTCCACAAAGAACTACAATCATTTTGTTAAACCCTGGGAAAAGACGAGTGTGTTCACAGCAGCGACATGACTAAAGCCGGACAACAGAATATTAGCCAGTCAACCAAATAACCAGACTCCTCCTCAAGAGATCCAAACCGGTGAGGGGACTGAGAGAATTATCCACAAGATCCTGGTTCCTCACAGCTAAGGGGTCTCTGCTCAAAGTTAGAGAGAGCAGCACACATGATCACTGTCCTTGCTGGCTCATAAAGGTAACATGATTTCAGGAGGGAAAATAGGCCTAGAATAAATAGATAATTAACACAGAGCTTGGTCACAAAAACAAAAACACGAAAAACAAAAACAAAAACAAAAAACCCTTCTCTATCCAAAACATTGGCAATTTCAAAGATTAAAGGCCACAAAGTAACAACCCACAAAACCTTAGGCTTTGCCTTTGATAGGGATCAAGTGTGATCATCTACTCTATTACTCAAAAATCAACTTGAATTCTGTTTTTTTCTTTAAAAAATTTATACAATGGATTAAATGGTTCACTGAACTTTCTCCTTATCCATGAAATAACTTAACCTAGAGCTAAAATTGTTCTATGATCAATACAATCTGCATTACTACCTCAGAATACCTCATCAAATACATCTGACACATGGCAACCACTTTGGCAGCATGCATTACTAGCACCTAATTGCTTGACAGCTAAATTAATAATATTGTAAAAATTAAAATGTATTAAAATCCTAACAAGGCCTCGGATTTATACTGGATAAATACTTCAACACTGTAAGCAGTAATTTAAGACCAGCTCCCAGTTGAATATATTTAGATACTTTTTTGTGGTGTTTATGTGGATACTAAAAATTGGGTTTTGTTTGTTTGTTTTGTTTTTCAAGACAGGGTTTCTCTATGTAACAGCCCGGTAGACAAGGCTAGCCTTGAACTCACAGAGATCTGCCTCTGCCTCCCAAGTGCTGGGGTTAAAGGCACAAGACATCATGCCTAGCTTTGGTTACTAAAGTTGTAAATATGTGATGCTTACTGTAATTCCACTGGATAGCACTAGTCTGGGAGGGAGAAGGTCATAAGAAGGCTTATCCAAGCAGACAGCTCAAGCCACTGCTGACAGCAGCCACTATGGAAACCTGCCACGCTTTCCACCAAGCTGAGGGCCCACCACTAGCTCCACAGTTACAGCCACACCAGGGCTCTGATCCACTAGAAAATGGGCATTTAAAGGCCACTGTGTTCTGTTATTGTCATTAAATAGATGCCGATCTACCCAAATGTTTGTTCCTTATGATCTCAAAAGTCCTATTTGATGCAGGGAAGCCAGGACAGAGCTCACCCAGGTCCCTGCCTGTTACAGGCAACAGCCATATTTATCAACTTAGAGCAGAAAAACCAGAATCTGTATGCTAATCAAAGACCCTACATTAAAGTGGAGGTGTAGGTATGGATACAGACAGCTTAATAAGATCTGAAGTATAACCAGTTGACCAAAATAAGTGCATAACTCAGAAAACTAAGGAAACAGACGAAGCCCACGCACTTTGAGACAGAATCAGGCAGCAGTTAATAATGGTCTCCATTCTCCTTCACAGTTTAAGCCACAATCAAATCAGCTGTTTAAAATTCAACTGGTCAGCTACTGCGGAATTATTGATAAATCCACTGTGTGACACTTTTGGGACATGCCCCTCCTGTGAGATCTTCCAACATTCTCCACGGGCAGCATTGTGGTGGGCAGCAGCACAATCCCTCTCTCCACTCATCTTAGACACAAGAGCATGCATTATCAAAACAACTCAATGATTCACCAGGCTTTGCTGAGAACATCTCTATAACCCAAATGAAGCAACCAGAGCCAAAGAGCCGCCAAGGAGTCATGTTCCAGAAATTAATGCTATGCATTCACAGGCTGATTGCAAGGTTAGGAAATTACGAACTGTAGTAGACATACCAGCTTCATGCTTTCTACAGTGAAACTATCTAAGATGCAGCATTTGGACTGTCTCTGCTGCCACAGACCAGGTGCTTTGATACTCCACAGGTTGAGTAAATTGAATCCATATATTGTATTTACGCTCTCTGTCAAGGTTGCTGCTTGACATTTCAAGTGATCAAAGGCAAACAGTCATCAACCCTGTAGCCTTCAATATTATGTTCATTACATTTAATCAAGGGCCTGCTCCACCTCCCCACTCACCAACACCAACAAAGTCTGAATACACAGCAGTTTTCAGTAGCAAATAGAGGCACGCTATTGCATAAAGACACAGAAAACCCCAACCAACAAAACAAAAGAGGAAAGAAAATGAGTACCATCCTCTATAGTGTGTAAGAAAGTAAAATTTCACAGCAGAGACATGCTCTGTAAGCATCCTACCTGAGGCAGCATCAATCACTGTGGGAACGCCCCTTCGATCAGAGACTGGACGGGATGACCCTGGCATGCTGACTGGATCAGAGCGGACAGGCTGGATCCTGCAATGCATTTCATTTAGTTCACATATGTTGCTGGCATGAAGACTGTCACTTCCTCAACAGACCTTAAATCAGGAATGCTGGAATGGCTTAATCCATTAAAGAACCATACATTCTAAAACCAGACAAAAAAGGAGCTACAGTCCCAAACTCTTCCACAAAGACAAAGCCCTAAAAACATAACATTCCCGCCTTCCCAGGCACACTCTAAATTCTTGTTAATGTATGTTGTTCAGTGGATTAAGAAGGAGTTGAATAGTTAAAATGAAATGAAAGAAATGAATAGGAAAAGAAGGAAAATACAGTGAAAACTTTGGCTTTTTCAAAGCATACATATGAATATTTCAAACGGCAGAAGAGCTGAGTTCAACAGAAGACACGTCCAAGAGGAGAGCAGCTGAGCCACAGTGAAAGTGAGACAAGGGGATTACTAATTGGGTGGTATACTGAATCATAGTGGACACTGAAGGATGATAAAAAGAGAACACGCATATCTCATTAAAGCCGGGTCTTGTTCTGTAAGCCAGGCTGGCTTTAGACCTTCCTGCTTCAGCCTCTCAAGTGCTGGGAATACAGGCATAACTGGCTAGGAGTTAAAAGTCTTCAGCAAGACTGTAAGCAGGACCATTTGCTCAAACCCTGAAGTACAAATACAATGAAAACAAATATATAAACTTATATCCAGGATAAATATATTTAATAACAACAAACAATGCAAAACTCTAATTAAATCAAGCATAAGCAATTTAAAGTTAGATTGGGGTGGTCTAAGAAAAACTGAAAGATTTTGAAAATCTTTATTTGAAGAAATAAATCAAGCTATAAAATATTAGGAGGACTGATTCTGAGATAAGATGCCCAGTGAAGCAAGAGTGCAGAATATACACATATGCACTAAGAATGCTCTCATATGACAAAAGGGGGGTGTCCAGCGGCACCGGTGATGGTGACAGGACCTTGTGCATTCAGAAGAGAATACACAGTTAAGAGAGACAAAGGTCCCCTACTTTAGAAGCTCTTCAGTATCTACCGGTGTCTCTTAGACAGACAAAATAAATGCTATGCAAGTACTAGATACCAAACTTTGCATCATAAAGAACAGAAGTGACAAGCATACTTTTTAGACATGTATATAATTCTGGCAAGAAAGAAGTAGAGAGTAAGGATCAGGAAACCCAGGCTACAAACTACAAATGAATCACACTAGCACTTCATCTTGCACCTCAAAGGCAATGAGAAAGGGACAGGGGAAGAACGGAAGAACAGCAATGCCGACATCGAAAGATGAGGAAGGACACATTCCTGAGTGTGAACAAGAAGCATGAACTGGAATGGCGTTTTAAGGTGCTCCAGTATTAGCAAAAGACAGTTCAGAATGTAAACATTTGTTGCATGTGATCAGCCCCTGAAAGATGACAGTAAATGGAGTCAACAATAGAATACTATGTCAAAAGGAGAAATGTGAACATTTCTGTATAAGACATTTGTTTCAAAGGCAGACTTTTATTCTGCCTTGCAAGTAACCTCCTGGTTTTCTATCTCTTACCTGAGACTGTTGAGATCCAGATCATCTGTATCGAAATCCAAGAGTGGCTGTGGCGTGTCACTTGGCCCGTGAGACTGCAACACAGACGAACTAGATGATATGACTGTGGTCTGTCCTGAGGGATGGATGGTTTTAAACTGGAACTGGGGACCCATCCACAGGCGTCTGTGAGGTCCAGTGTGTGTTACAATTTCAACCTGAAACAGAAACAGTCATGGTTTCGATGTCTCATGGCCTGCACAGGTAACTTCACAGGCCTTGAATCCCTTCTTTAAATACCCACTTTACATTTTAGTGGAGTAAAGACTAGAGCACCCAGAGCAAAGCTACAAACACAATCATAACCTACATGGACACTGCTGTTCTTACAGGGGACTTCAATTTAATTCCTAATGGCTTCGAAGTTCAGTTCTAGGGAATGTGACAATCCTTTCTGAACACCCAGAAAAGTTATACTCAAGCACACAGACCCTGAAACACATACATACACACACAAGCGCACACGCATGCAGGTAATTTAAAATAAAATCTTTCAAAACACAAACCGCTTCACACAATAGCCATAATGTAACAAAAATCCCAACACCAGGGATAAGAAACCCTCTTTTGAATTGTTGGCCAGGGCTGTCAAAGACAACCCTTATAGATTACTCCTATTGACCTTGGTTATGTCCCAGATGTGGAACACAAGTCCGTATCATGCACTTCAGACAAAGAAACTTTAGGACTTGACTGGATCTGACCTGAAAGTCTCCTACAGAGGACTAGCATTCATGACACCAGAATTTGTTATTCTAGAGTCCAAAGGAGGGAAGCAAACCAGCTATGACACCTATGAACCACAACAATGACCAGCAAGGCACAAAATATTAAGGGTACAATAGTGGCACATATGCCCAAGTGGTAAGCAACAGCTCTCTAACTGAACAAAGACCTGCTCAACAAGAAGAAAATCATCCTGGTCCTGGAACCTAGTAAACTACCTAAGACTAATGTGGTCATGGATCTTGGAGGAGAATCTATAGCCTTCAATCTACTAAGCCAGCATAATACCTAACTACATTCTCAATATCTATCATTATACCCACAGATAAATTAGTTCTCTTCCCTCATCAAGGAGATGTCTCTTCGTAACAGATGGAGACCATTACAGAAAACTATAACCTACACAATGCAGTTGGGGAGCCCAGTCCCAATGAATATACCTAAACATATTCCTGCATCTATGTCTCTCAAATGATTGTAGAAGACAGGGCTGAAAGATTTTAAGAGTCAGAGAGACAGTATGTTTTCTGTGAGATCGTATCTCCTAGAAATGCTGGAGAAGGCTCACCCATGAAGTCTCACCAATGTGGCTGTCTAAACATGACTTGAAGAAGAATGACACCAATAGATAATATGGAAGGGAGAGTATTCACAAGGCATCCAGGAAAGGGCACGCAAACCGGTTCTCCAATACCAAATGGTCAGAAGGTTGGAATCATATATTTACACACGCACACACACACACACACACACACAACCACCAACAACAACAATAATGAAAATAACAATTAAAGAGAAAGAGAGCGTGAATTTTAAAGAAAAGGGGAGGATTTGAAAGGAGGAAAGGGAAAGAGGGAAATTATGTACTTAATCACAAGAAAAATTTAACACAAAATTGTAGAAATGTACATACATCGACATACATACCCACAATATATGCACCATATTATGTATCTTAAAACACAAAAATCCCATGAAAGAAAAAGGAGTTGTAGAGTTGAAAACCTGAGTTGACCACCCCATGTAACTAGCATAGGATCCTTAGGGACTGCTTGCCTTTGTTTTTTTGTTGTTGTTGTTTGGGCTTTTTTTTTAATTTGTTTGTTTGGTTTTTTTTTTTTCCCTCACCAGATGTACAAAGTGCTTCTGGCCTTAAGCACCTTTTTCCTTGGCAATGCGGTCTTTCTTGAGTGGTCCCATGAATGCTTTCTTCTCCTCCATGGTCTGGAAATGACCATGGCCAAACTTGGAGGTGGTGTCAATGCATTTCAGAGCAATCTTCTCCAGAGCCTGTCATTTGGTCTGTGCCAGCAAGGACTTGCTGAGAGTGAGCACTTGCTTCTTGGTTCCCACCACAAAGCCTTTGAGCATGACAAAGTCACTGGCCACCTCACCATAATGGACAAAGCCACCCAGTGGGTTTATGTATTTGTCAGGCAGGTCAAAGTCAGTGGATGCATTGTTCTTAATCAGCTTACCATCCATGATAAAGTAGCCTTGACCAATTTTGTAAAAATTTTTGTTAACCTTCGTTTGGTGATGGTAGCCTTTCTGTCCAGCTCAAGTCACAGAGAAGGCCACACGGGCAGGGTGCCAGGTTGAAATAAAGCAACCTTGCCTAGCCCTTGATGGGCCTGCGGGGCAGTTTCTTTGTGTGCCCATGACTAGTTACCCCTTTGAGGCCTTTGCCTTTTGTCACCCTGATGACATCAATCATCTCATCCTGTTCAAATACCTGGTTCACAGGAACCTGCTATTTCAGCCTGTCCAGGACCCAGTCCAGTGTCTCAGTCACAGTGCCTCTGTTCACCTGGATCTCCATCAAATGTGCCTTCTTCTGGCGCAGAGGAAGCAGCCACATCCGAGTGTAAGGAATTTGTGGATGACTTGGCAGTACTTCTTCATGCTGTTGAAGTCCTACTTGCCCATGTCATCCTGCCATTTCTTACAGTATTTGGTGAAGACCTTCTTCTCTAGATTTGTGCCAGTTCATGTAGAAACTCTTCTTACACCCATCACTATGTGCTCAGCAAATACTGTCTTGAAGGTGCGGAGACCTCATGGGGTTTCAACATATCCCAAGATGCCCACAACTACCATGGGTGGTATTTCCACAATGGTTACAGCTTCCACAACTTCCTATTGTTCACCTTGGATCCTGGCCTGTCAACTTCCTGGACGATGTGGGTCATACCAGCCTTGTAGCCTAGAAAGGCTGTAAGATGAACAGGCTTGGAAGGATCATCCTTGGGGAAGTTCTTCCCCTTCCCACGATACTGGCTGCTGCCCTTCCAAGGCAAGAAGCCCAAGGAGTCATGGCTCGGAGCAGAGAATTTCCTGTGAGACATTACGCCGTCACACTCTGTCGATGACTGCTTGCCTTTGTAAATTCAATGAAGTCAGTATTTACCACAATGTGGTCATGCAATGAAAGCAACTAAAAGCAAATCTTTCAAGTCCTTGAAAAAATATACAGTTGCTTTTGGTTCTATAAAACTAAGATAAGGTCCCAAATTATTTCACAGATGAAGCTGGTTTTCTTGTATAATTCAACAGTATATTTATGTTGCTTGCAAATTTTCTCAATCTATGTTCCAAATGATTTTAAAGATTTATTTTATTTATATGTATCTGTGTGAGAATATGTCACATGTGTGCAGGTACCTAGGGGATCCCTAGGAGCCACCCAATGTGGGAGCTGCAAACTCAGTGAACTTAACCACTGAGCTGTCTCTCAAGCCCTTACATCTATTTTTAAATAAAGGAGCTATTATGTTTTCTCTCATGTAACTGATACTGATCAAAATGTTTTCTCGACTGTCATAAACATCGACACAAGGTTTTGTACACAGTAAAACAGTAATCCAAAAGTTTTATAAGCATCATGCTCTACGGAAGGGGTGGGGCATTGCCAGAATTATATTCAATACTGTGAGAAAAAAGAGAATGGAAAACGGGAACCTGAAAAAGACTGTGCAAAAAATCCTTTTGAATAACAAGTTATGCAAATCTACATGAAAAATCAACTATGCTTCTCAGCTTTGTCATTGCCATGCCCACCTCTGTGCAAAGGCTTTATCACACTGGCTTCCCACATGCCTGAGTCCTTGCCCTGATTATTTTATATTTAATTACATTTTTCAGATTGCAGTGATTAAGTTTACAAAACACAACTGGCAAGGTTCACAGAGTGCAAAGGCATGTGTGAGTTCAAGAGGGCACAGCCATCCTGGTCTTGGAAGGGTATTCACATACCCACTAATGATAGGGAGAAAACACTTAGATCAAGGACAGTGATTTCTGATTCTCAGAGTTGCATTCAGCAATGTAAATTAGGCCACAGAGCCGAGAGGTAAACAGATGCCTGGGCAATTTCACTGAGGCGATAGCCAGATGTTACAGTATTCACGCTCCTGTTGTGTGCAGGACAAACATATTGTACGCACTTTCACACTGACAGCACACATTACCCCTTCTTCTAAAAGAAAAGCTGAAGTGAAGGGCAATGGTTTCTTTGCCAGCATTCCTGGACAAGACTTGTGCATGATAGTATCTTTTATCTGGATATCACCAGGAGAGGACGGACATGTCAGTTGGACTGTCGTCATTCATGGAGCATCTGTGAGCATGTCAGTTGGACTGTCGTCATTCATGGAGCATCTGTGAGCATTGCTGGGTATTGGAATGAACATACATCACACAGAAATGGTCTGTTTGTTCCTCCAGATTCTAGAGTCATTTCAGCTTCTCATGCTATCCTCCCTGAGAACACCACAAAGGCTCCCCCTTCTCTGAGGCACCTGTCTGATAAAAGAGGCCAAATGGGTAACGTGAGACAGGTCATTAACCTTAGCAGATGATGTCAGACTGGAGGCAGACACAACAGTATCTGTAATGAAGTCACTATAATCGCTCCACTGTGAAACAAGTCGCTTTGAAATCAAAGCGCTTCACTTCAAGACAGAGTCACCTAGTAAAGTGAGGAGTGGCTGGGTGAAGCTGTTTTTAGAGGGTCTAGAGGCCACCAATGACAGCGTGGCCTGGATTAAGCCAAGAAAGGAGTTCCAGCAGGAACTAGCAGAAAATAATGCTGAATTTCCTTAACGACAGCACTGGGACATTTTGTATGCTCTGCATCAAAGCAAACATTTGCATGAGCACAGATAAGTATCAATGAAGCACATACATAAAATGTACACATAAAATGAACAGTATTTCTAAGACATTCTTAATAAGGAAATACTCATAACTCTGGTGACTCACAAACAGTTACCAATTATCTCCATTTCCTGTAAGGAAAAGCATAGAATAAACACAGATTTCCATTCTCCTTATTGCAACAAACCCAAAATATCAGAGTTTTACCTGGGAAAGCCATTCTTCATCTTCCTGTCCACTATGGTCAGAGCCTAAACTGTCATAGGACCCATGTCGAGTAATGGGGCCAGGACTTCCAGGGGGAAGCGCTACATGAAAGAGAAAAAAAAAAAAAAAGAATTTAAACTTCTCCAAACTGTGCACTGAAAAACAGATGAGAACATAACCAGCTCAAATAAATGATATAATACATAAAACACAGGGGCAATTATGAACTAATGATCACACAAGTCCTTAGAAATATCTCCAATTAACAGTGAATTGTGGCCAGGTTGCTGACAAATGCTCTACCCAGTTAATCAGGAGGCTACAGGAGAGAATCTTGTCAGGGTCAGCATGGACAATAGTAAGAGGTTCCATTAAAAAAAAATCAAAACCCAACCAAAGCAACTGTGGAATTTAGTGATGAGATCCCTGGGGAAAGAATAATTGAATCCCACTGAACACCCAAAGTTCCCTGAGAGCTAGCTTACCTGTGATGGATTCAAAGAACCCATTCCTTACTTTTATCTGCAGTGGTCGTAAAAATACATGATGTCTGAGAAACACTTTCAATCACTGAAAAAAATTCAGTTATTCAAATACTGTCTTTCTCGGCTATTTCAAGTAATTTTCCTAATTCTAAGATATAGTTGAAAGTAGTCTATATTCTCCAACAAAGAGAACCTTCGGTTAGGAAAGCAGTGAGGTGTTTGGTTCACTTATTGGTGTCTGTTGGTTTGTTGAAAACAGGTTTTATGCTGCCTCCAAGGTACAAAGGCACTGAGGATGTCTCTTTTGGAGACAGGATCTCACTATTAGTCTTGGGTGGCCTGGAACTCACAGAGACCCTCCTGTCTCTGCCTTCTAGATGCTAGAGTTAAGCGCACACACTGTCGTGACCAGCCTTAACTTTGAATATCTGATCACCCTGCTTCACCTTGCTAGGGTCATATCATCTGCACCCATGCCAGCTTTCTGTAGTGATTCCTGCATGCTAGGCAAGCACTCCACCAGTTCAGGTACTCCACAGCCTGAACAACAAAATGTTTCCAACACTCACTGAGTCCCGAGGTTCCACAACCTCGGTGTTTTCTTTGAAGGCACGATCACTCGTGGAGTTCTAAATTCTGTCCACTCCTACTTTTAAGAGACTTTTAAAAAACACTTTTAGATTCACAGTAAAATCGGGCTGAATGCACAACTCCGCAGCCTCCACCTCCCTTCAGAGAAGCCAAGCAATGAAGCTAACTGGGAAACAGAACAAAAGAAAAGGCATGGGGTGGAGGGGTGAGAGCAGGAGGTGAGCAGTAAAAACCATGGCCATAACAGGAAACAATCCCATCATTTCCGCTGCCAGTGATGTTTGTAAATACATCTATACCCAAAATTTCCTTAGCATAGAACACTAAAAAGGAAACAAGCATTTTAAATATTTGTAATATAGATTCCATGAAAAACGAGATATCTATTTCCATGAACAGTAAAGGTGATGCCAATCTTATTTGATGATGCCAAGATAAGGAATGGAGAGAAGGAAAAAAAAACAGGGAAACAGAATAAAGGAGAAGACAGATGACTCTAAGGTAAAATTAAAAAAAAAAACACATGCTCACACACACAAAAAATGTTACCTGAAATTGTTTCAAGAAAAGAAATGAGACCTAATTCAGCAATGATGAACAGACATAAACATAGTGTCCAAACCGTTAACTGCTGGTTCTTCAAAATCATGGATCTCTAGCACAGGCATCTTGATATTTAGCATGAAACCCAAATGATAACAAAGCCACACAACAACATCTCTTCAGATGCCAAATGGCATCATAAATAAAAGAGCACCTTAACAATTATCCATTACTATCCCAACACTTTTTGGTACACACTGTAAAGATGGTAAGTCAACTGATGTTCTCAAGAGGCAGCTGTCCCCAAATCATTCATCACCTTTGTCTGAGGTTAAGTTCTTGCCACAGGCAAAACCGAGAGAAACTCTCAATTGCCTCTCCTCCCTTCCCTTAAAAAGATGGTGTGGTCTTGCCTATGACTCTGAGTCCAATCTCAGCAAACAGAAGGCAGAGGCAGAGGATTTCATGTTTTTTTTTTCCAAGTTGGGCATTGAAATACTATTAAAAAAATCAGCATATGCCATGAAAAAACATAACAAAAAGGTTAACACATGATAGGACATGCTGTGTGGAGCAGATGAGAATGGAAAAGATTTCAATGCAGTATAATGAAGTCATGTAGGTGTTTGAGGATAAAGCATTAGCAAGGTAAAATGAAGCAAAATAAGTACAATGATTTGGTTAGTAAAGCTAGAGGCACGTGATGAAATGACTGCACAGCTTTAAGCAAGAGAGTAAACACCTTTCCATAAGAAAAACAACAACAACAACAAAATGTGGATTTCCAAAGAAATTATGGGCATACCACATGCCCTGGACCTAAAGCTGTAGCTTTCTCAGAATAAGCTGAAGTTTTGTACTCCAGAGTAAGTGACAGCAACAGAATGGTTTGACACTAGGACTTCATGAAATTGTGGACATTATGGTGGCAGGGATGGACCTAGGGCAAGGATGGAGTGAACTATTGCCGGAACAGCACTGGTCTTAAGTTGGCAGTTTATTGGTTTCTGCACTATTGTTGTGGGTATGCTTGGAATTTCCCACGGGGTTGGAGGAGGATGAGGAAGTCGGGTGGAGGAGGAGCCGCTCTGTCCTCATCTGCTTTGCAAAGGAAGTAGTAAATATTCCAAATATACAACACAGAAATAAATTCTTTGTATATATAAAATAGAGACAATAAATAAGTCTCATTTAAACCAACAGAAGGAAAAAAGAAGACAACAAAAGGAAACCAGGTTTTGAACTGCAAACTCCTATATGGGGATTTTAGGAAGGGTTCACTGGTTTCCTAATTAAGATGCTCTGGCAGTAGCAGAAGATGAAAAAATTAAAGTGTAGCAGAAATATATGTCCTCTATATTGAAAATCCTCTTTTTCTCCCCTATATTTATTCATGCTTTAAACTTTCTCCAATGCTAGTAGGTAGAGTAGTCTACACTCATTGCCTCAGGAATGGAAATGACCCACCAGGTCACAGGGAAGAATAAATGTACACTTTGAATCCAGTAGGAAGAAAAATGATCTAAAAGAACATCTGATTGGAGCAGAGTCTACACATTTCCCAGCAGTCCTTAGGATAAAATGAAACCAATCCTGCGGAGTGACAAGCACAATATGAGGACAGAATCTAAAAACTAAATGCTAAAATTACATTACTTCTGAATAGAGTTCAGGAAGTGCAGAGCATTTGGTATACATGCAACGTTCAGAAGACCACAAGCAGGAAAATGGATGCTAAGGCAGCCTGTGTCCATCAATAGGCAATAATCTCACCGGCAACTAAGTCAAATACTTAGTCCCAATGAGAAAAAAAAGTCCCCAAATACATAATTTCAGAATATTTTATATAAAACATAGATGTAACATTAGAAAGGATATCATTGATTTTTTTACATTTCTAATAATATAGGCATAAAATCTAAGTTAATAAACTATGTAATTTTTTATTGTATTTGGTTTCTTGAGACAGGGCTTCTCTGTGTATCCCTCAGTGTCCTGGAACTTACTCTATATAAAAGGCTGGCCTCAATCAGAGATCCACCTGTCTCTGTCTCCCAAGTGCTAGGGTTAAAGGCATGTACCACTAACTCCCTGAGAAGAACTGTTTTAATTTTAATAGAAAAAGTTTAATACATATTTTAATTTTAATTAATTTTTATATGTAGTTGTGTCCCTGAGTATATGTATATGAACCCCTTGCCTGCATAGGTGAGAAGAAGGTTACAGATCCCTTAGAATTAGTGCTACAGGCAATATGAGATGCCATATAGGTTCTGGGAACCAAACCCAGATCCTTTGCAAAAGCAATAAGTATTCTTAACCACCAAGCCATCTCTATAGCCTCTAAATGAGACTATTCTTGATTCTAACTAAATAAAATTGTGCAAACCCAAGTTGAAAGAAACAAGATACATACCAGCTATCTGAAGAAAAATGGTTAGCATTCTTTACATCAGCCTTTTTTTTTTTGAGATTTATCTATTTTATGAATATGAGTATTTTTACATGTATGTATGTATTTGCAACGCCTGTATGCCTGATACCCATGGAAGTCAGAAGAGTCAGATCCCCTGGAATTAGAGTTACAGTTGTGAGCCACCTTGAATTGTTGGAACCTCTAGAACAGCAGCGAGTGCTGTTACCACTAAGGCATCTCTCCAGACTTGGCTAGTTGGGTTTTTTGTGTCAAGATATAAAGCTCACTATCTTTACCCCAACCTTTACTACAGGAATTTACAGTGTACCTTATCAAGCTAGATGCAAAGAAGCACTGCCATTTTACTTTGGACTAGCAATTTAAAAATACTGTCTCCACAAGCAGACATTCCATAAACAGAACAGGCAGGGACAGGATGAGCAGATCGTTACATGGAAACTGCGAACCAGAATGTTTACAGTCTGTGTTCTCAGGGAAGCAGCCATGCATAGAGTGAGTAAACAACAGCTTAAAATTAACAACAACTAAAAACCCCACCTAGTGTATTTTGCTGTCAGAGAGTGGTGTGTGTGTGTGTGTGTGTGTGTGTGTGTGTGTGTGTGTGGGCACACACATGCTTCTATGTACAATTTTATACTTCATGTGTCACAGGACTAATAAAACAAAACACACATGTGTCACAGGACTAATAAAACAAAACACACTTGTCAAGTGCTGATCTCTGCAAAATACTCCTTTCAATCTCAGTCCAAACTGCTTCCACATTGAAAAGCAAAGCAACTAAAATCATGAAGAGAAAAATGAAATGGATGGATAACCACATCTCTAAGTCCAACAACCACATAAAATGAAATGGTTTGATAGCCACGTATCTAAGTCTAACACCCACATAAAAAGTTCTCAAGAGTCAAAGAATATGTTCTGAATTCTTCAAGAACTTTGGTTTTTGGCTTCTGAGGTGTCTTCTGTAGCTGTGTGCACAGAAATTTTTTTTGATTATCTAAAGAAAATGGAAAACACTACCTTCTGGGCTGTTAACTCTACT